ACTTTTCTTTGGCCTTTCGCTACTTTCTTATACCTTTAAACAAAGTTAGTAGCAATCAAGGAAGCAAGAAGGAATGTTAGAACGGGCACTAATGTAGTCAGAGAAATGCTAGTCAATTTCTCAATTTTCATAACTTGCAATTATTTTACAGACCTCAGACTTGACGGCAGCAACAAGTAGCACCTCCAATGAACACTGAAAATTTGATATACAATAAAAAAAGACAGCCTTGAATACTATGCTCAAAAAAACCCCACAGAAACATGAATATGGCAAGGAAGTCGTATGAAAAAGATACCAAAGTGTTTGAGCAGTAGCATGCACGCGAGTCTCAAATAGACGGCACGTAGATAAGAATGCTTGATGCCAAGAGTCAGCTGCCACATCAAGACGGAGCTTCTATTCCTTCATTTCATTGTCATATCAGTGTTTGTGTGATGTGACGGACTGTCACTGCCGAAACAATGCTCTCTTCATATATCGACTAGTGAATATAACACCGCCAATCCGTTCATTCGCGGGTCACCGATGCCAACTTCATGAGCTCTATCCTCGAGGTTAGATGGTGCTGACAGCATTGACAAAGCACAGCGATTGATAGACAGCACAACGAGAGCTTACAAATGATGGGAAGTGCACAATGCACGCCTCAAGCTAGATTTGTTCGTGTGACAGATCTCATCACTGCTACACTAGCAGAAATGATGTGCAGATGGAAGTTATTACTTGCAGAATGTTGACCAGCTTATCAAGGTGACAAGTTGCAATACGGATATATTTTAGTTGCGAAGCATCTTTTCCACTCTGCCTCTGTTGGCATCTCCTGTCACTGTAGCCTGTCACAGTAAAGCAAGCCGAAAGTAAGACGGCACATTCACTCTGGAAAAGCCTGTGAAAAGATATGTTCACGCACACGAAACGACTTCAGCAGTGCTTTTATGGGTGGCCAATAAGGCAGCGAGTAGGCTAAGGAAAGGTTCTGTTTCTGTGATGGGTGCTGGACATAGTCTTACACGCTGTCTGCAGCCATGGAAGAACGCTGTTCTCTCGTTGCTATTGACGTGTTCCTAGAGGAAACACCGGTGCTTCGCGCGTTCCCAGGTTTGTCCTTAGTAAAGCAGTTGTTTTTTTGTTTTTCTTTTTTTTTTGCAGGCTATTCGCTTCACAACGCTGTTTAAAAAGTCCTGTTATCAACTGATTTACGGCTATACACGCTGCCTCGAAGTCACAGCCGCACCTCAATTTAACTATACCTCTGCCGAAAATCTGATTTGACAGGGTGCTTTTACACCTCGATGGTTTGCAAAGCATTCATTGCCTCGCTTTCACAACGACTATCTCAAAGGAATCGGGCTCCATTCAAACGTTTTCTGATGTTACTTTCCGCACTTGCCCGATGAGAGCTGCGTTGTGTCAGTGTGTAACACGTGTTCTCGTCTTTCATTTTTTTTTAATTGCCCTTATCTTATGCCCTATTCATTCTGCTTTACTGTAGAGCAGTGAATCAGAAGCCATGCGGTTAGCCTCGATGACTCCTCTTTCCCTACAAAAAGCCGAAATGAATTGTCGTAAATTAGAAAAAGATTTGCTGATGAAGATGAACAAGCACCTTACAGGCAAGAAGCCAGGTTGTAAATGCGTGAAAGTTTCTTCAAATATGGCCAAGTTCCAACTTATGACCAGGTCTGTTTTAAGGCAAGCAGTTCCACTGCACCCCAAATTGAAATAGTCATTGCCTCAGAAAAAGCAATGACTACAATGATAATTTGAAGCACTCTGCTCGCCTTCTTTGTTTGTTCTAAATGTTAATACAGGAGAATCTCATTAAACGGAGTCTGAAAGGACTGGAAAAATATGTTACATTTAAGAGGTGTTTCGTTTAGTGAGAGATGAACAAGGGCACAGAATACAAGAACAATACCAATCTTGCCGGAAGCACCTGTTCCTTTTAAGCAGCAGGTCCATTCATCAGATTTCCGTATACTGAGAGTCTACTGTATTTTGTCAACCTTTGCTCCCCAGAGCAAAGGTTGGCAATGTATTTCAGATGTATTTGGCAATGTATTTTCAGATGGCCCAAAACACCATCATCTAAGCATATTTGCACAAGGCAATGGTTGCCTGCCAAAGGAAAGAATTTTCTCCTTTCAACCTCACTGATAAGACGTTCAGCCACGCTACGGGGCAAACATCCAGCAATAAAATGCGGAGGTTTCTGTTGCACAAAAGATGCAATGTGTTATCAAATCGCTCGTAAATGTCATACATGCCAGTGATACGCACACCTTTTGTAGTCCTTGTTTTCCAAGTCTTTAGGAGAGCAAGTGTTGCTTAAATGCAAATGAAACGTTAGAACCAAGCTCCACATTCCGACCAACAGGCACCTCTGGACACTGACGTGCCACAGAAGTAAATAAAATGGAGGCGGAGCTCTGAATAAAGGCGGGCTAAAACATTCTTCATAAAAATCTTACGCATCTATTTCGACCACAAAACCTTTGCAACCGCCCTACTATGAATACAGTAGCAGATTTGGACTGCTACAAAGGATGCTTCAAGCAGCTTATAAGCCCCTGGCAGCTTCACTTCCACCTAAACTTGGGTGTGCTATGCCGAATCGTGCCTTATTACAAATACAATTTTGTAATTCCAGGCAGCAAATGCATTCTGGAACAGCGTGTTATCAGCAAAGGTGCAACAATGCTGACAATAACAATACGGCAAATGAACAATGCCATAGTAGCCGCTAAATTGAGATGCTGTTGCCACAGCGCTTCATTACGGCACAAAAGGCAGAGTATTCCTGCCTTCTTAGAACAGCATGAAGGCAGCTGGTATGTTATCAAGAGGCAGCATTTTTAAACGCATTCTTTGCATTCCCTCCTTCCTCATCCTTCTACCCTCCTTCTTTCAACTCATCCGTTGCTTGGTCTAAATCCAGAAACAAGAAAACATGCGGGCAAGAACACAGGTCACAATAAGACGTAAAAGATTAAGACCTGCTGCTAAAGGACTCTATACGCAACACCTCGGTGATTCAAGTAAACATGACAATCCAGCTCCAAGGTCAGAGATATTTAAAGAAAAGGCGTACGGTGACCTTCGTGTTAACGTGGTGCGCGCATTTTAGGAAGGCATTGTTTCAAAAATGACAGCTGTTATAGCGGCGAGTGGGCGCAGTGTAAGATGGACGGCTTTTTACGGGGAGGGGGATCTTTGACGCATTAGCGCTTATGAATATGTTACGGGCGCTGCACAGCTGCGAGAGGCCCCTGGCAGGCAGCACGTCCCAACAAATAAAATTGCGCAGCTGTTGGCAATCGGCCCAGTACGCATGAGATGCCCTCTCCAGTTGAACACAAGGTGGAAACCCGCACAGCACTCGAAGAGTCGAGTGCTTCGGCAAATAAGATGATAAGACGCGCGCCAGAAGAGAACCGGGACGCCCGCCCGTCTTCGCGCTGTTTGTTTTATTTTAAGCCGAAGAAGAAGCGCGACATAACATATGTGGGCCACGACACACGGGCAAAGGGACTCGGTCCCCGTTTGCGAAATGCGCCGCAACTAAACGCAACGACGCCTGTCACGACACGGCATGAAAGGCCTCGAGAGACGGGAGGCGATGTCGTGCAGTGGAGTCGTCAGGCTCTTCCACAAAACTCACGTCATTCCAGGCGGTTGCCTCGTTTCACGACTGGATTAGAGAAACCGCAAAGGCCGTGCCAGTTCGCTTTCCTTTCTTATTTTTTTTTTTTTTCGAGGCAGCACTCCTTTCGTCTCACGAGTCATGTCCGCCGTAGAGCGCTGCGCGAGAATGAATGAATGAACGAATGAGAGAGACTCGCGGATGGGGAGGAAGTGTGAGACGACGCTCGCTAACTACGCGCAAAAAAAGGGGTCAAATCAACCACGCGCCCAAATTCTCTAGTTGCGCAGCGGGACCTCATCCAGACACTGCGGGTGAAAAAAGAAACGCAACAGAAAGGAGGCGTCAGCATGAACCGCGGTTGATGAATGTGGCTCCAAATGACGCAGAAAGACATCGCCGCCGTCGCGTCTATTTTCCACACGAGCTCTCCTTCCATCGACTCGCTCTTTGTTTGCATTTAACTTCGTACCACCAACGAAATAATAAATTGACACAAAGCACCGTCTGCGTAGCCGTACAGTTCAGTCGTCAAGTTCTCACGTGTGGCGCGTCAAAGGAGGCCGCAGACACACGAACTCGATGCAGGAGCAACAGAAAAAAAACAAAACGAGCGCTCTCCGCTGCCTGCGGAGGCTCGATTTCAAAGGCAGCGCCGTAAAAAGACTCTGTTTAGGTACGGCGTCGACGATGAAAGAAAGCGAGCTCAGTTCACCCGATCCAGGGGTAACTGTTGCGCAAATGCGCGCCGCTGGTCACCGACACGACCGACCATCGCATGCCCGGGCAGGCTACGCCACGAAGAACGAGACGACTTTTCGGGGGTTTTTCCCCGCCAAGAATGGGCATGCACCTCTGACCTCCGCGCATCCGGAGGAGCAAGCGAACGGATGACGCTGCGGCGATAAATAACGTGAGATAAGCTGAATGACCGCGGACACGTCGTACGGCGAGAAACCTTGCCATGCGTACTGCTGGTTGTAGTACCGTTAGCTTGACATTGTCCCCATTAAGTGGTGGAAACGCCCGCCAGTTTCCATTCTTCGCCAATTAGTCACTTAGTTGATCAGACGACTCAATAAACGTGAAGTCGCGGTCATCAGAAATGCAGATAGCCGAAATCCCATTCAATCGCGTTCACGTCACCGTAGCTTTGCAGTCGCACGGAAAGACGAACCGGCGCGGCGCATCACATAAATTTCTCGTTCCTAACAACAAAACCGCAGCGGTTCATCATTATGTTGTACACGACAAGATCCACAGCTCTTACGTCGTTCGCCAATGTCGCGTTCGACTAACCAAGCGTCAATACTGCGAAGAAAATCCAGAAAAAACGGTGGCATTGCGGACTTACCGAGGCCTATCCGAACGGACCGGTTGCTTCAGTCACCTGGCCATTGACGGCGCTGACGCCCGTAGCCATCGCAACGCGACAAATTTTACGTCACGGACATCGCGCAATCCCATAGGCCCGCACGCTGCGTCGTTCGCCCACAATGCTGCTATTGGCGAAATTTGTTTGTGACGTCACCAAAAAAGAGAGGTGATGTCACGTTCGAGGAAGCGCGTATTCAAAAAGTTGTGCGTCACGAAGACACGCGCAAATGCCAATGAACGTCAAGCCGCGCGCGAGAGCGCTGTTTGAAAATAGCTAGAACGAGTTCAGAAACATTGCACAGATTTTGACGAGCATTGAACAATTTCCAAGTGTTTGTAGGGCTGTCATTATGATTGTTGTCTTGAATGTTAGAGCAAACGGGGCAGGGAAATGTACAGAAAAAAATATTTTTAGCCTTATTTTGAACGCTCGTAACTATGAAACCAAAAGGTCGGCTGTTAACGTCTGCAGCCATTAATCGAAAGCACACGTATTCAATTGTTGCAACGCTTTGTATCTAGAGCTAAAGCAATTTAATCATGTCGCCTGATACTTTGACAAATAATTGTTCTGACATGTGACGGTGAAATATAAAATTATTACTTAAACGATTTTGTTTGAATTGTTCCAAATATGGTATTGATATTTCACACAGGTTAGCAAGTTTGCTATCATTAAGAAATCGCTAAATCAGAAGGAAAGCTTCGAAAGAGCGCTTTGGCTAACGCATCATGTGTCTTGCGTATCTTAAGTGTATTTCAAACAGCCATCATCTACGATCGCGGACCAACGCGTGCGAGTTCTACGCAGTTATTTCATGAATGCGAAATATTATTATTATTATTATTATTATTATTATTATTATTATTATTATTATTATTATTATTATTATTATTATTATTATTATTATTATTATTATTATTATTATTATTATTATTATTATTATTATTATTATTATTATTATGTTTCCTGTGATTTTAGGTACCAAAAGCGCAGTTTGATTGTGAGAGACGTCGTATATAGTGAAGGGCTCCGGAAACATATCGACCAACTCGTCTTCTTTAACGTGCATTTCATACATTCATCGCTCAGTAAACGGGCCTCCGACATTTCGCCCCCATCGAATTAAGTTCAAAGCAGTGTCGTTACAAATACTGAAGACATTGGGGCAACGGCATAGGCGGCTTTGTTCCGAATTCCACCAGTTGCATATCCTTTTTTTTTTTTCAACAGCTGGCGTGTGCCGTCTATTATTTCCTCGTGTCAAGACCCCAGTACGTTCTCGTGCCATGGCACTGAGAAAGGTTTCTGCTTTTTACTTTGAAGAAACGTTCAACACCTTTCTGTCAAAGCGTGCGCAGAGTGTCGTGAGCTTGCGAAGCCCCCTCTCAAGCAGCAACAGCAAAACTTTTGCTGTTGTTGCCTGACAAAAAGAACGCGTCTTAACTAAAACGCTCATAACTTGCGCGTTCTCCCACCCACGACCTACTGTACTCCTGACCTGCCCAGCTGGCGGCGGTCTCCGGACCTGCCTACGCATTGAGTAAATGTGACGGCTATATTGAATCATTTTATTTCATGTAACTTTGAGAACCTTCTTTTGCATTTTAGTTGACAATTCAGCACATTATTTCTCAAATAGAATCGCAAATCAGGTACAAACACATGTATCAGCGTGCAAAACAAGAAAGAATGACGACGTAGACAGGTTGTAAAAAGCGCTGGCCACCAAATGTTTATTTCACTCATGATACCAGCTATATGTGTATACAATGGTAGACTTGTTGCCGTTGGAGTACACTCAGCTGGCATGCATTTACTGTCTGGGCAAGAAAGGGCAAGGGCTATGACACTTGACAGTGTTCGCGGCATCCGGCGCGCATACAAAACAACCCAATACAGATAATTTTGCGCATAAATACCTTCGTCTCAAATGGCAAATGTACGTAGATCGCAGGTACATGAATAATCAATGAAAGACACTCTGCAACTGTTTCGAAACGACACAACACTTAAAATAACTTATTCAACGCTAATTCTTCACACAATGGGTGTGTTTCAAAACCTAGTTGCATAACCACATGCAGTGACATGGTTTCCATATGTGCACTCATGTCATCTTTCTTTTTTTTTTTTGTTATTAACCGTTGTGAGTATAGCACGTCGTCGTTTACTTTCTTGAGGTTGTCGGTTTAATATTATTTTCTTGCGCTAATATGCGTCTCAGTCTGTCATGCACCACCAACCAGCCCAGCTAGCAACTCACTCGTTTAGAGAGACGTAGCCCTTTACAACACAGAAATCACCTTGATCCATTTTTCATGGACCTCGGTCACTGGAAACTCATGAAAAGTCACATCAGGAGTCTCCCCTTGCTTTGATTCGCAGAAAGGCACGCAGCACACCACCGTCGTGATGGTTCATATGCACCAAGAAACCTCGCTTCACTGGTGTACAAACTGCACCTACCTGCACGCTTCTGTCGCAGCTCTGGCAGGTAGCGAAAGATCGTCATTATACTTTTAAGTTTATTCAAAAAGAGGTTTTTATTCATTTTATTTGTCCAGAGTGTATGCACGCGTAAACATTGCGGCTTTTCTCCCAGCGTCACGCGAGCAGACTAAAAAAAAAAAAGAAAAGCGTGGCGACTCATGTTTTGGCCGCCAGCAACCGGTGCGGATGAGGTAAGGCCCCTGTATTTTTCAAAGGTAGCGCAAACTTCCTTCCCCGCGCCGTTTCCTCCTCGCCCGCCACTCTCAGCCGCCATGAAGGAGCGATTCACGCGGGGCGCGCCGCCGGACGGTTTCGTTTTGTCGCGCGGCGCGTTGAAGTAAGGCCCCTAGGGGCCTTTCGTTGAGGGGCTTGCTTAAAACGCGCCAATTCTTGGCGTAAATGCACAATGGTGCTCGCAAATACTGTGTAAGAACAACAGTGTGCGATGGGCCAGTGCCTTAGCTATCATCTCGCGTTTTGAGGGGAACCAAATGTACCGAATGCCGCCCTGTCGCAATCTGCCTTTGCAGTACTCATCGTCGATTTAATCTGGGGCCTGCTTCACAAGATAGAAAAATCTGGGCTTTGTGTAATTTTTCTTGGGTTTATAATCTGCCTTTGCAGTACTCATGGTCGATTTAATCTGTTGCCTGCTTCATAAGATAGAAAATTTTGGTCTTCGTGTAATTTTTCTTGGGTTTATAAGTGTGGAACAGCCTCTCAAAAGTTAATATGAGTGCTCTTAGAGCTCGAGTTTGTACAGGAACAACAGAGCCCTACTGAAATTTGGGACATGCATGCCTGCTTCCATAATGGGACGTGTGTAAACGATTCATCCATAAAATACCACAAACGTTTAGTGGGATGAAGGCAGATTTTATTGAGTGCGCAAATAAAATACGGGAAGCATCGAATGACCACGAACGCTGCAAAACATTCCAGTAGAGCGACGACAGGGCGAAACAATTTCGCTATCAAATTAGATAGCCTCTACAGCATGCGAAGGAAAGAGAAAAAAAAACTTAATCCGGTGCCCTCCACTACGGCGCGCCTCATCGCCCTGCTTTGCGTCGGCTCGTTAAACCTTGCACTCACTGAATCAGAGAAGAAAACACCCGCTTTGAACGTAGGTGACACAGCCGGGCGTGGCCAAACACAAACAATACAAGAGGTGTCATTCGCAGACGTAAACAAATACACGATGAAATATTGAAACAATCATTGCGCACTTATAAGCAGAGGAACCTTTTCAATCACAGACATACACATCGTTGCATCGTGTATACAAGAAATGTTCAAAGCGTAAACAAAACCATTCCACATTTGTAACGGAATCTCTCATTAAAACATTCAAGTCAAGTGACAAAGGGGTGAAACACTCATTAAATCAGATAGCCTTTAAGGCATACAAAAAAAAAAACAGAAGAAAACTCGCGGTCTGAACACAGATCAGACAACCGAGAGTGGCGCCCGGACATAAAGAAAACACAACATGCACTGGTTCGCAGCAATACACAAATACATCTCAAAATATTGAAACCCTCATTGCACACTTTTCAGTAAAGGAACCCTCGTTTTTAATCGCAGGTATACACATAAGGCAAAGTAAAATATACATTGGACATATCTAAGTATATACAAGCACTAGGCAAAATCATAAACCTAACTCATTCACATTTGTAAAGAAACCTTCTTTTTCGATCACAAATATACACATAAGGTACCGAAGTCTACTAATGGGACATTTCCAAGTGTGTACAGGAAATAGGCAAAAACATAAACACAACTAGTGCACGTTTTTAACGGCATCTCTCATTGAAACACTCCTGCTGCCCGACTTTTTTGAAGCCAGTCGCTTCCTCTCCGCTTCAGCATTGGACTTCTTTATTAATATGTACATCCTTGTTCGCAAAAACAACTGTACAATCTTCTTGGGCAGTTCATGGCATGGCGGGAAAGAATTGGCTGTGAACAAAGAAGCTATTATTTTTTCCTGCAATGCTGGTACACTGACTTTGTTTGTGAGAAGGTCCACTTCATTTTTTCTGACGTAAGCCTCTGCAAACTCATCAACCTGCAACACTGCCGCAAGTATGTTCGAAATTTGAACGAAAGTATCTGTGCACTTCACAAATAAACAACTATACAACATTATATTTACCATACACTCTCTAATATTAGCTGTACACGCATGCACGAAATTCGGTCATGGAAGTGCGCAAAAGTGAGATAAATATGAAAGAATACAAACTGAGAACACAATAAACCACAATAAAACAATAAACGCCATTTTGCCTACAGGTAATCAAAGTTCGAGCGAAAAAAAAAAGGAAAAACGATCAAAGACGTGGTTGATCTCTGGAGAAGCATAATTGCTTCCGCTGCAAATGGTTCCATTTAGAAAGCAAATGGCGAACGCCAAACATTCAACAGTAATTATGTTGTGGCCGTATTCGAATATTCGAGCAAGCTAAAAACGATCGAGCTGTCATCGTGGTTGAAATCGTGCGAGAAAGCGTCGACGG